TCCTATGTATCAGTGCATCTCTCATAAACAAAAAAGAACCTCTAACAACTCAGAGAAACTTGTCTGCCTCTAATAACCAGGTACTTCTATTTCATATTTAATGAAAGGGATCATTATGTGGTGGCCTGTAATATCAAATGACTGAACTCAGTGACTTAGGAGGTACTTTTCAATCTTGCATTTCTATTGGATTCAAGATCCCACTTTTATTACCTTTCATTTAAATCAGTTTGTTCATATGTGAGCTGAGAATTATTTGATTTTTTTAGTACCACACTTTGTAGCATTTCATGGCAAATGATTAACTGAAGCTGCCTAAACCAAAGTGAAATAGTTGAAAATGATCCACAATGTTGCTCCATGTGGCACCCTGAAGTGCCATAAAATCTCTTAAAGAGTGCCACAGCACTCAACCACTGTATGAGAAGGTAAATACTTTCCTAGCCCCATCTTGTGTCTTACTCTTGCCCCAGCTACCCTAGTGGTACCTGGCAATCAAAAAGCCCAAGGCTGAATCAATTCAATCTTTGTAGGTTTCTGTAAACTGCCTAGATTGAACTGATAAGAAAGTGAACTAATGCTCACTTTTCAAACCTGAAAGGCAGCGAAACCCCTGAAATAGTCCATACCAGGAGCCAGAAGACACTAGAGTATGACTCCCAGCCTACCAGTAACTGCAGAGAGCCAGGAGACAGGCAATTTTCCCAGCCATGCCCCTCCAGCCAGCTAAGGAGGGAGTGAAGGGAGAACTCCCCACACTGGACCACCAGCCAGGGTCTCCCCAGCACTGGGGAAGGGAAGAGGGGAGAAGCCCCCATCCAGGTGTTTCTCCCTTTCCCATGCCCAGAGCTGGTTCCACTAGCCATGCCCCCTCCTCAGTATGGACCAGCTGCAGAGAGGGTGTGGGGGGAACCCTGCCTGCACCCAATACCAGACCCCCAGCTAGGGACTTCCTGGCACAGGAAAAATGGGGAAAGGGGGCAGCCTCCAGTGGGGAATTTCTCCCTCATCACCCACACCCCACGCACCCATAGCTGGAGCCAGGAAAATCACCTGTTTATGCCCCCTCCTTGGCCAGCTAAGGAGGGAGTGGGGGGAAGGGAAAAATGCACCCCCCCAGATGTGGACCCCTATCCAGGCTGTTCTGGGCACAAGGGGGAGGGAGGAAGAAGCCCACAGTGGAAGTCATTTTTCCATCCTCCCACTCCCTCCTTAGCAGGCCTGTCAGGCAGGGAGAGGGCATGGCTAGGTGATCACCTCAGCTCTTGACTTGGGCAGGGGAAGTAAAGCCCCCACTATGGGCTTTCCTGCAGCCAGGAGCTGGGGCAAACCACCCAGCCATTTCCCTTCCTTAGCCAGCAGGCCAGCTGGCCAGCTGAGGAGGGGGCATGGCCTGCCACCCAACTATGTGACGGGAGGGGAAGGTCCCTCCACCTGACTCTGGACCCCTAGTCATACTGTTCCAGCATGCAGAGGGAAGCCCAAAGTAGGGCCCATTTTCCCCCGCACTCCTTCCTCAGTTGGTCTGCTGGCTGAGGTCAGAGCATAGCCACATGACTGCCTCAACTCCCAGCTGAGGGAGGAATGGTGGGGAAAATGGCCCCTCCCTGCCTGGTTCCAAACTCCCAGCCAGGTTGTGCCAGGTGCACAGGGGGAAGCTCAAAGTGGGAGTTGTTTGTCCTCTCCACTCCCTTCTCAGTTGACCTGCCAGCTGAGGAGGGGATATGGCTAGGTAATCACTCCAAATTCTGGCTTGGGCGGGGGGAGTAAAGCCCCCACTGAGAGCTTCCCCACAGCTGGAAACCAAGGTGATAACCTGATTATGTCCCCTCCTCAGCTGGTAGGCTGACTGAGGAGGAAGTTGCAGGTAAAATAGCCCCTACTGCTGGCTATACCCACCACCCTGTGCCAGGCACAACCTGGCTGGGGGTCCAGAGCTGGCCTGGGACAGGGCTTGGCCAGGTGACTGCCCCAGCTCCCAGCAGCAGGGAAGCCCATAGTAAAGTTAAATTGGGTGGGGATCTGGGACAGAAATTCTATATACTGGCTTGATCTAAATCAGTTAAGTCTGATACTACATCCATCTAGGTTTATTTTAAACTAGTTTCAACCTTTTTGAAAGTGATTTAAGTGCACTGAACTTCTGTTTGTTACAGGTTTAAACTAGTTCCTGATCACTTAAACCAGTTTATGCGTAACTTCTGTTCCTAGCCCTGGGGACTGTAGCTGCTGCTGCCCTCCCCCTCACCCCCAGCAGCCTCTGTGCTGACCCACCTCATACTCCGGTCAGTGTGCCCTGCTGTTGGCAGGCAGACATAGAACCAGAGTTCTGTTTTTCACCCCAGCTCATCCCTTTAGCTCCAACACATGCTCCCAGAAAAGGGAGAGCCTGCTAGGATAAATGGCTCTGATTGCTGGCATGTGAGCCCCCAAAGGAGCAGCTTCAGTGGTGGCGTCTGCCCTTTTGTCCTCTCAAGTATGGATCAGAAGCAAGAAGAGGACAGATGATGAAATGAAGAGAACAGAGAGAGGTGAGGCCCTTCCTTCATTGCCCTCACCTGGCTAGATCAAGGGTATTTAATAGGGGTGTACAAAACAGGCCATATTCAATTTAGATTTGGATTCGGCCCCAATCAGAGACAGCGATTCGATTCGTTGATTCAGATCACTGTCCCCGATTTGATTCAGCTGAATCTGAAGATGTGATGCTGATTCAGAGAATCAGCAATTCAGCCATAGACACAGCTTTAAATGTTTTTTCTACATACTTCATGGTACCAGGCATGGCTCATGAATGCTGTGATGCTGGGGCAGATGGAGCGTCCCACAGGAGTGCAGTGGGCCCCCCTGCATGCTCAGCAATGAACCCAGAAGTGGGCCGGAAGTACTTCTGGTCCACTTCTGGGTCTGCTGGGAGCACACTGGGGGTTCCCCTGCACCCTCCAGCTCAGCGATCAGCCACAGGAGGACCCTGGGTACCTCCCCAGACCCAGGTACCATTCGCTGAGCCAAGCGGGCACGGGGCCCCCAAGCACACTCCCTGGTCCACTTTCAGATCTGCTGCCAAGTGCGTTGGGGAGCTCCACCATACTCCTGTGGGATGCTCCATCCACCCCACCACTGCAGAATTCACCAGCTGCCTGGTACCTTGAGGTATGTAGAAAAAAAAAAATAATTTAAAGCTGTGTCTATGTCCATATGGCCAAATTGTTCTGAAATCGGTTTGGAGGGTTCTGATTCGATTCAGAGAGATTAAAGGGTCTCCTGATTTGATTTTGGATTTGGAGATTCGACCACCAAATCAGGCCAAATTTCCACCAAATTGAATTAGGGACCAAAGTTTTGCACAGCCCGAGTATTTAACTGTATATTCCTGCAGTTATCCCCCAAAATATTGCTTTTCAGAACTGGGTAGCAGTGATTTTAAAATTGTTGCAACTCCTGTCCTTAAGATCATCAATCAGTATATTCAGGGCATGTACAATCACCTTTGTCTTCTAAGAGATCTACAAGATTGGAAATGATTTCCTTTGTTACTGTAACACAAAAGCAAGTTAAAAAACACTTAGCGTTAATTTTTTCTGCTTGTGCACACAGAAGGTATAGCCACAAAAACTCTTGATAATTTGCATAGGTGTCAAACCATGAAATATTTGGAAACAAGCGAGGGTAGTGGTAATAAAACAGTATAGCTAGACAAGTTTTTACAACAGATTCTCACCCTGAGCTCCTGCTCTTACACAGATAGTTCTGTCTATGCATTTATTCTATGCCTCTCTCTACTAAACAAAGAATGGTAACATTTGGCCTTCTCTCTCATAAAATAATGTCTTTCAGGTAGCACCTACATATAAAAAGCTGAACATACAGTTTGGCTACCCATTTCCAGTTAGAGAATTTCATAATGTTGTACATACCTGGTTTATCTATAGCTTGTTAGAAAGTTTTAATAAAGGAATACAATCTAAATAAATTAAAAATGTATACACATATATGTCTTACCTCTTCCCACTGGTGGATGTATCTAATTAATCTTGAAAGTCGCAATAAACGTAACAAGCTGAGAATTTTTGTAAATCTCACAATACGAAGTGCTCTAGCTGTCTTGTAAACCTCTGAATCCATTCCTTTTTCTACAATAAGAAAGATATAATCCACTGGTATTGATGAAATGAAGTCAACTACAAACCAACTTTTTAAATAATTCATCTTAATGATCTTAGGGTCCAGTATTATTTCAGAGCTGTCTTCATTGACAGTCCCAGTTCTAAAATTCATGATCAAGTCCAATAGAAAAACAGTGTCTGATGCCACATTGAAAATAATCCATGGTGTTGTTGTTTGCTCTGTAAAGAACGTGATTCCAACTGGTATGATGACAAGATTGCCAACCATCATTATAAGCATTATTAAGTCCCAGTAAAACCTAAAAGGGAAAAGAAAAGAATCAGAATTGTCAATATGTTCTAAATATATAACAAAACAATTTCATATTGTCTGCTTAAAATTTGAAGCTCTTTGGGGCAAATTACCTGTCTTCAGATCTGTCTGCAAATCATTCAAATGCACTTTTATCATTACATAAATCAGTCAACAATAATGGAGTAAACTCAGTGGTAGTTTTACTTAAATAAGGACTACATGCTCATATCCACATAAAGGTGGATAGCTAGGTCTGAATGTTTAATTTATTTTAATAATGCTATGTTTCACATATAAATCATTTGACATATATAAACACTAAAGATGACAAAAATTATAAATATTACATGATTTTCTATTTCTTCTTACTAATGATTGGCATCTGGTATAAGTGCAGGATTGTAACACAGAATTAGTTTATCACTCCATGGCATATCTGAAAGTTAATATGTGGCACTTATTTGATTTCCCCAGCCTCCCTGTCAAAATCTATTGGTGTTTTTACATAAGTAATACTCATACCTGGTATCAATCACAGCCTATGAATTTATTTCTTGGCTCTCAAATCTAGCAGATAAACTTGCTAAGTGCAAGTAACTGTTCCATCATTAGAATAAAATTATGTACACCCTGAAACAAAATGGAACATACACACTTACACCCCTCCCTTCAAGATAAAGTAGGTTTGTGAGTTAAGGGGCCAGAACTTGGTAAAGAAAAGAATGGTAGGAATCATTAATGAGTGAGATATAAAGCAATTCACATGAGTTACTTTTAGGTCAACCTAATGGTTAAGAATGAAATTTTATTAGCACAAGCCTTTTGGATGTTTGATATTCAGTGCAAGCTGAAACCCAAAAATTTTCTCCAGGGCAATAAAATTGGTTTAATTTATTGAGTGTGGGTTACACTGAACTATACGGAGTGTATACTAAACAAATGATCATGCTACAAATGGATGTAAAACATCATTTTGGACTTATTCTAAAGCCACCCTTTGGACATATTGTAAAGTCATTCTGAAATAATAATTGATATTACAAATTGCTTTAAGATAGGTGTAGTAATTCAATATTTATATAGGTGCAGAATATAAAATCATGCAACTAATTCAATAAACCATTAAACTGAAAGACAAATGTGGAGTTCACAGTAGAATGACCAGGAGGATTCCAGATTTTAAGAATCTGTACTTCATGAAAAGTCTAAGACAGATTAGGCTCTGTTATCCTTAGAAAGAGTAGACATCAAAGAATATTTAAACTGATGTGTAAACCTATAGAAAATGGACCATTACAAGGACTTGTGTTGGATAGTTTGAATAGGGATAGTGCTGTCTCAAGCAGGGCATTGGTCATATTTTTCTATGATTCAATGACTGCACTCATGGCCCTGGTTAATGATCTTTGCCCGGAGATTGACAGGGGAAATTGTGCCCTGCTGATCTTACTAGACCTTTCAGCAGCCTTAAGTAGAGTCAACCATGAGCTACTGATAAAGTGTTCGTAAGACTTGGTGTGTTTTTGGGACAGCTCTATATATTTCTATTATTTCCTAGCAGGGAAATCTCAGAGAGTGGTGATGAAACAGTGCTCATCATCCCCTCAGGACTTTTCCTGTGGAGTCCACCAAAGCTCCATCTTGGCACCCTTTCTGTTCAATGTTTATATGAGGCCTCTGGGAAATACTGTTCAGAGATTTGGAGCAAGATGCCACCAGTATGCTGATGACACCCTGCTCTACCTCTTCTCTTCTGACCCTGGCCCCTAGAATTGGATCGACTGAAACTGAATCCAGACAAGTCAGAAATAATTGTGGTGGGCAGATCACTTGACATTTAGGCTGGGTCACCTATCATTGATGGTCTTGTCACTCAGGTTTGCAGTTTGGAGAGCTCCTGGATCCTCTGCTGCAGTATCTGAATCTTCAGGTAGCAGCAGTGGCTAAAAAAGTGTCATTTCCCAGCCACCACTGCATCTGGGGAGAAGTTTGCTTTCTTTAAGATTCAGATGTAGCTGCCATAACCCATGCCTTCACAGTGGCAAGACTAGACTACTGCAATGATCACTACATGGACCTACCTTTGAAAACTATCCAGAGGCTACAACTGGTATAGAACAGAAGCCCACCTTCTGATGGGGGTAGACCACCAGGAGCATATAACTCCACCCCTCCAGCATCTTCACTGGTTTTCAGTAGCTTTCCTGAGCCCTACATACCTCGGGGACTACTTCCTCTCTTAGCCCCATCCCAATCCCTTAGGTCATCCAAGAACAAGCCCCTCCAAATACCACTAGTATGTTAAGTCCTTGTGGCAAAAAACATGAGAGGTTAGCACAGATGCTTCAGAGAAAGGTGCAGGAACTATTGCAATTGACTTATGGGTTAAACAATCTCCCCAGGTTCTGAATTACCTTTCTTACTATTAATGAGAAACAGGCTGCAAAGTGAAAAAAATATCAAAGAGATTTCAGGTAGCCAAGGCATTTAATAATACATTTTTTAACTTGACTCCAGGCAGAAAATGCTTACCAAACCTCAGCTAGTTCAGAAGCATGGAGAACCTGCAGAGTTGCTAGATGAGTTGCACTGAGCTAAAATGGCCAGTACCATTTGTGATTCTGGCCACAACAATAATCCAACATGGGACTGCACAAACACATGCCACCACAGTAAATTGTGAGTCCTTATCCTGTGCCTGGTAGCAGATTTAAGCATAAACCTGTGGGGTTACCTGCACTGAGAAGGTAAGTCACTTTGTCCTGCTGCTCCCTGGAATAATAGAGTGAATATACATTGCTTCTACAGTACTCCCAAGAGTGGTACCAGAAAACCTTCTCTGCAAATGCCAGACCCTAGAAGTGAGGCAATGAAGCCACCCTGAAGGTATCTCGAACAATCAGGTAACATTGGTGCAAAAGGTAAGAGCATTTACCAATTCAAACCATATTTCTCAGTCTGTTCTCCAGTCAATCTGACATGCTTGTAAAGGATGCAGAATTCACTTTGTGAAATGAACAGCCTTACCTGAAAGTCCATGGAAGTGATAATGGTCCTTGGTGAAGTAATTTTCATAGCAAAGTCACTGCTTTTATTTAAATGCATTGCCTTATTTTACTCTGACTATACTTAAATCATAAAAGAGTCTATTTCTAAGCATCCAGAGGGTAACAAGGTTATCAAGAACAAGTCCTCCTTGATCAGTATGATTTTCCTCTATAAAAAAAGAGACAGACTTTTTTGGTTGGGGAAGGATATATAGCAGTGGATGTAACATACCTCAACATTAACAAGGCTTCTGACACTGTCCCCCATGACATTCTTATTAGTAAGTTAAGATGAAAGTACTGGAAGATGATGTCAGACCAGCCTTGAACCCAGTACTTTGTTCCAACCATTGCAACCACCTACCACAACCCCCCACCCTGCTGTTCCCGAAGGCTGAATTAGCCTACCTAAAGCCTTCATCAGTGCCCAGCTTGTCACCCACACCCTGGTACTAAAGTGGCTGGCTCCTGTCACTGGACCCTACACTTCCCCTATATAAAATCAGACCTATATTAAAAAAAAAAAAAATTTAGGGAAAGATATAGGAAGTGTCCAGAGGTGTAGGTTGTAGCCATGTTGGTCTAAGGACATAGGCAGACAAGGTTCTTTGGGTGAATCTGATATCTTTTATTAGACCAACTTAAATAGTTGGAGAACTATTTTTAAGCAAACTTTCAGGTTCAAAAACCCTTCATCAGGCTAAGGAAGTTTCAGGAGTAGGTGTGTGCTCTTCCTGAATGGAATGAAAAGTAAAAAAGCCAGAGGCTGTGCTGGTATGCATACAAGATAGACAGTCAGTGAAAATGTAGATTGAGCAGTCAAGGGGTGAGAGACAGACTGGGTGGTAGGGAGAGAAGGGGGATGAATAGTGGAGAGGTACCTGGGAAGTCAGCCATCAGGCAGGTTATAATGTGTCATAAATTCAAAGTCTATATTTAGTCCATGATTTTTAGTATCCAGGAGGTTGATGAAGTGGAGTTCATAGGCTCATCTCTGAGTACTGTTTTGTAAGTTCCCTTTGAGGATCAGGACTGAGAGACTGGAGAGAGAGTGGTTTCCTTGTGAGAAATGTGCCCCCACCGGTAACTGGGTATTCCTGTCTTTGATAGATTTCTGGTGTGCGTTTGTTCTGGTGCGCAGTTGTTGTTTGGTCTCACCTACATATTTTCCCTCAGGGCATTTGGTGCATTGGATGAGATATATTACATTTCTCGAGGTGCAGCTGTAAAATCAGGGAATGCTGATGGCTCTGTTGTGGGGTGTAGTGATTGTGGGGGTGCTAGAGATGTGTTGGCAGGTTTTGCATTTCTTGTCATGGCATGGTCTGGATCCATTTGGTGTGTTCTGGGTCTGAGGAAGTTTGCCTCTGGCAATGAGTTTGGCGAGGTTTGGTGCTTGTTTGAAAGCTAGGATGGGTGGCTCTGGGAAGATTTCTTTAAGAATAGGGTCTCTTTCTAGTATGGGTTGCAATTGTTTGAGGATTTTCCATACGGGTTCGACGGAGGGGTGATATGTCATAACCAGCGGTGTGCAGTTTGTGGGGGGGTTTCTTCTGTACTGCAGCAGTGCTTCATGTCGTATCTGGGTAGCTCTTTCAAACATGCACTCTCTCTCTCTGGAGGAGCATCCTTGTTGGGTAAAAGCCTTTTTAAGATTGGTGAGGTAGCAATCCTGGGTGTTCTCTTCAGCGCAAATTCGGTGGTATCTGAGGGCTTGGCTGTATATCACAGCTTTTTTGGTGTGTTTAGGGTAATTGCTGGTTCTGTGTAGATATGTATGTCGGTCTGTGGGTTTCTTGTCCAGGCACTCTTCCTGATCCTAGAAATGCATTGTTTTAAACTCTGGTTGTTTCTTGACCTCCTGGTTCTCCAACTTCCCTTACTTGTAAGCTTCGCTCCCCTCTCGATCTCCTGGTTCACTGACTCAGCTCACTTGTGGAACTTGTTCGCCTTTGGACTCCCTGCCTTTCTGATCTAGCTCATTGCTAGATTCTGTTGCTCATTCTAACCCCAGCTTTTACCACAATTGAGTAGCCTTGATCCTGACTGCCACCCAGGTCTGGCTGCCTATGTCCTGGTACTGATAGATAGCTATGTAACTTGTTGAATTACCATGCTCAAACAACAGTCATCAATGGCTCAATGTCCACTTGGGGGAAGGTATCAAGTGGGTTGTTTTGTGTCTGGTAATGTTTAAAATCTTCATTAATGATTTGGAATGTTAGATTGAGTGCACAGTTAGCAAATTTACAGATGACATCAAGCGAGCGGATTTGCAGACACTCTAAAGGATATATATAAATACACAGTGGAAAGTGAGAAAGCTGAAGTCATTATCTCTTGTTTCTTCATACTAGAAATGCTAAACACATACTACAGAAGAATACAAGTAAGTTTAAAACAAGAAATAATAATAATGTCCTTAACTTCAGTAAACTGAGTGTAAGGCATCCCAGTACTGTTGGAGATGAATAATCTGATCAGAAATTTCACACTGAATATGTTTTATTGAAAAAGGCCAGTTTATTGACCCTGAAATGTTTTGTTTGAGACATCTTAGTGGCCATATGTACAAGATACACAAATACTAAATGACAGCCCAACTGGTGTTAGTGCACAGTAGCATCCCAAATGGCATTTTTGGTGACACAGACTGCACAATAGTTCATTATTACTGTGCAGTAGGGCTATACAAAGCTTCGGTCAATGATTTGATTTGGTGGCTGAATCTCCAAATCTGAAATCGAATCAGGATACCCATTAAATCTCTCTGAATTGAATCAAAACCCTCCGAATCGATTTTGAAAGATTCAGAGATTTGGACATAGACATGGTTTTAAATGTTTTTTCTACATACTTCAAGGTACCAGGCAGCTCATGAATG